CACACACACACACACACACACACACACACACACACACACACACACACCCCTCTCTGCCATCTTTATACAGTTTTCATGAGAATAAGCTGCCTAGATGTTGATGGCATCTTTAATGAAGGCTTTAGAACACACAAGCCATGTACTGTAGTGAAACACATTTTTACCATCATACACTTGACTGGAGAATGTAGCAGATACGAGAGGATTAAAAAAAAATTGGTGTGGTAGAGCAAAGCCCCATGTTAAAGGCTGTCCTCCAAGGAGGTAGGTCCCATGCGTATGTCAACAACAGTCTTTGAAATCTCTAACCACAGAGAGATCTTTGTTTCACAACCTTCTGGTCCTTAATACCAAGTGAGGCATCAAACAGGGAGACAGATGCTTGCCGGAAGTGTGTCTGCTGGTGTCATGGGGGAGATCCAACCCCAAGTCCTTATAGCTTCTGAGGTCCTTCAGATGCTCCTGTCCTTGGGTGAAGTTGGGCCAACTGTATGGTGCCCTGAGCTCCAGAATCACTCAAGAGTTTGGCTTTCCTTTTAACATTGGAAAAAACAAGTGGTTGAAGAATGCTTACTGTCTAGACCAAGGGTTCTGAACTCTTTTTGTGTCCTGGACCCTAGTGGCAGTTGGGTGAAGTCTATGACCCCTCCTCTGAATGATGTACGTAAGATTACTAAAGAAAGCAATATAATGAAATAAAAATGTAAAACTCTTATTTTTTCCATCCAAGATAAAAGAGCCCCTGAAATCTATCTATATAACCCTTGAAGGTCTATGGACTCCAGGTTAAGAAAGCCATGTCAAGGCTACTGGTGTCAAAACCAGCCTCCTCTCAAAGCTTTAGCTCCAAGTAGCTCATGTTTTTCCAGGTCACCTCTAACACCCTTTCCCACCTTTGGAATCATTCTTGAAGTGTAACGTGAAAGTAGTTGGAATGGTGGGTGGGATGAGTAGAATATCTGCCCCCTTTCTGTGAAAGGGGGTTAGGTGCCTGTGAAAGACCTGGAGATTCCCCACGTCAGTGGCCTTCCATGGAGATGCCTAGAGTTGGTTCAGGGTCAAGCACCACCCCTGATTGAGTAGCTATGGGATGCTCAGCTTCCCTCCCGTCATATTTAGTACTGATTGGAGTGAGGGCTAACTGCCAGCCTACCAATCAATCAGCAAGCATCTGTTAAGTGTTCATGATGTTCCAGGCACTGTGCAGAGTGCTGCAGATACAAAGACCTCATGGTGCTTCCATTCCCTAGGGGGAGACAACTTCTACATGTATCATGCTGCCTCGAAGGCGTCTTGTCCCTTAGGTGAGAGACATGGAGGCTTGAGGAAGAGCAGAAAGGGTCTGATGATAGAGATCAGGAGTAGGGAAGGGTAAATTAGATTCCACTGTGGGGAAGGTTAGTCTTAGCTCTAATGAACATTGACTTTTTGACCCTTGACTTCCATGGTAGGTGATATTCTAGTGCCTTAATTTTTTCATCTGCGGAAAAAAAAGGGGGTCCAGGCACTGAATGGCATTATGTCCCCCAGCCATTGGAAATAAGCTAATAATATACGTTTGCCTGTACCCCCACCCCTCCACTCAGAGCCTCATGGATAACAAGGAACTTTGGCCACCTGCTGTGAGCTATGAATGACCAGCGGATCTGCCAGGTGGTGGGGGGCTTGGGAGCTATGCTTTTCAGTGGTGCCACAGAGACTGAATCATTGGTTAGTTTCCAAGTCACCTGACTTGATTGTTTGGCCATAGGCATGTTAACAATCTGTGGATGAAGCAGGGATATTCTAGACCAGGGGTGGGGAACCTTCTTGTTTATATTTTCAGTTCTAGCTCACAAGATCTCAGAGTTGGAAGGGCCCTTAGAAGTCACCTGGTTTCAGCCCCTTTTCATGACATCTTTGACGAGTGATCATTTCCCTCCCCTGGGAGGGGAAAATAAATGGACTGCAGTGGAGGATTTCTGCGGTGCCTTTCAGCCTTTAACTTTGTGATCCTGTGCCCACTAGTTCTGGGAATCCACCACCAGATAGCCCATTCCTTTTTTGGACAGCTCTGATTTTGAGTTGAAATCTCTCTCCCTGTAACTTGGATCCACTGGTCCTAGGCCTGCCCCCGGAGCTGTGAGGAATATGTCTAATCTGATTTCACAAGGCAACCCTTCACATACTTACAGATAAGCTGTCAGGTCTCCCAGAGTCCTCCCTTCTCCAGGCTGAAATTTCCCATCTCCTTTAGTCAATTCTTATGCTCTGTGCGCTCACTGGGAGCAGCAAGGTATGGCAGAGAAGCAGCTTTGGAATCGAAGGCCCTAGAGAAATTAGAAATTACTGCAGCAATCATCTGAGTGATGTTGGACCAGTTACTCACTTTGAATTTCCTCCTCTGTAAAATGAAGGGGGAGACTTACATGGCCTCTAAGCTCATTTCTGGTTCTAAATCTATGATCCAGTCAATCAACAAAGCATTTATGAAGTGCCGATTGCATGCCATTCACTGTGGATTTCCATAAAAAATGTGCGACATAGTAGACAGAGCTGG